GGCAAGATACGCCCACATTTTCAAGAGATGGATAGAGAACAAGCTAAAAAGAAAGTGATTTTTCCTACAATCAGGAGCCATAATTCAGGAAGTTACGGTCCGATATGCAGGAATATCGAAAGGAACCGAGATCTTTGGGTTATAAAATTATATTTCAAGTTTCAACAAAATCGGATAAAAATTATGACCTCTATAGGGTCCACAAGCTAAAAACGCGATTTTTCGTACAATCAGGGGCCATAATTCAGGAAGTTACGGTCCGATATGCGCTAATATCGAAAGGAACCGAGATCTTTGGTTTATAAACTTACATTTCAAGTTTCAACAAAATCGGATAAAAATTGTGACCTCTATAGGGTCCACAACCTTGATATACCATATTTTTACGCTACTTGAGAATGAACGGCGGCCATTTTGTTCGCAGTTTTGGGCCGATTTTCACGAAATTCGAACTCAGCCATCCTCAGGGTTTATCGGTGATATACTAAAACGTTTTTTTAAATCGGATAAAAATTATGACTTCTATAGGGTCCACAAGCTAAAAACGCGATTTTTCGTACAATCAGGGGCCATAATTCAGGAAGTTACTTTCCGATATGTGCGAATATGGAAAGGAACCGAGATCTTTGGGTTATAAGCATACATTTCAAGTTTAAACCAAATCGGATAAAAATTGTGACCTCTGCGGTGTTCACAAGCTAAAAACGTGATTTTTCGTACAATCAGGGGCCATAATCCATGAAGTTACAGTCCGATTCATGCCAATATCGAAAGGAATCAAGATCTTAGGGTGATAAACCTATATTTCAAGTTTCATTGAAATCGGATAAAAATTGTGACCTGTAGACTGTTCACAAACAATTGTGGACGGACGGACGGGGGTGACGACAATATACGTCCACATGAAAATGTGGGCGTATAAAAACATCGGTGAACTAATCTCTGTCGTGATGGCAAGCCAAGCTAGTTGATTATTAGGTAAATAAAACAATATAAACAACCAATGAGTAAAACTGATTTATTCCAATCAATTAAATTATATACGAGTCAAGTATTACCTTAACCGTGTACGAGTTTGCTTGTGGACGGGTTTACTGACACCCGTTCAACTTGTAAATTCCAAATACATATTGCCTGCTTACCGTATTCATGCCATAGACGATAAATATCCTAATTAATAAAACCGTTCCGTTTCCAATAATTATCACAGACACAAATATTAATTTTGATTGTTTTATCCATCAACACACAGAGTAAACATCTAACAACCAGATCTTATGAATTGGAGCCTCTTCAATAGTTATAAAGCACATCAAAGAGTGTAGAATAAATTGCCTAACAGAAAAAAGCATGCTTTATAAGTTGTTAAAGGGGTGTGGGGCTATTTAAGGAATGACATTTGTGCTCAATACAATGAAATAATTACCACCGGTGTAAGGAATGATTTTATTAACACATATCCACATTCCTAAAAACACCAGTTTTACCTAACACAGTAATCACAATTACTTGTTACAAATTGGTATTACATGTAGCGGGTGGACTGGGGTGGGGGGTCCGGCCAAATCCTAACAACTCAGTGAAATTGCGACAAATAACTTCTTAGTTAGTCATATTGTAAGTGTAACTGTGTTTTCTTTATTTTGACATTCTGCTAATTGAGAAACCATTTGAGTAATAAATACAGGTTATTGAAAGGACTTAAGCTACATGCATAATCAAAAATATATCAACATCTCTTCTGAAAATTTGTAATTATTACTGACAATTAACAATAAAAGTCATACTGTCCATACGACTACAACAAGGTAACAGTTTATTGTTAAAGGGGTGTCTATGTTCTGTCAATCGTTTCTTTTGATGTCACGTATCAATTCTCATTATGGAATCTTGATTGACAGTATGCATCCACCAGACTCTTTGGTGCCGAAATGAAAAAGGCAGCAAGGTATTATCGGACTGATACGTGTCCATGTACATGTATTCAACAAAGTTCTATAAACTTGTTGACAGTGAATTCTGGCATTGTGTGATTACATATCAGGAGACGAAGGCTTTTAATTCATTTGTGATTTAAACCAGAAAAGATATATTAAATGAGGTATGATTCACCGATATTAAATGCCATGTTTGAATTATTTGTCAGTATGTGAATTACTATTTAGATGGATAACACTACGCCCCCAGAAAGACTAGCATATACTGGGTGTGCATTTTATAATTTTTCTGTAATTTGATTGAATTTGTAATAGTCCATCGATGCAAGTCTTACAAATATCTAACAAATATTAATGAAGTAATAATGTGTGGGTATGGGCATATTTCTGTTTAAAAGGCAAAATAACAATGCCCGGGTTTAAATAACAGAATTATCCTGTGATATGATATAACAGTATATACGGTCCATGATATAACAGATCAAAGAAACGCTTACACCAATCTTCACACGTACTTCACCGAAAATAAACGATCAGAGGCATGGTTTAATTAAAACACCGAGTCACACTGTGTTTTCAACACCGAGGCAGTGCTATCATGTCACTCGATATTCGCTCGGTGTTCACTCGGTAAATCACGGAATTCCATGATAAAAAACATGGTAATGTCGTGTTTCGTCAAACCTTCGCGACGACCGAACTGTAGGTACACACTCTTAAATTGTTTAGGTCTTTACGTACATTGCTCCATATAAATATCGTAATATAAAACCTTTCTATTTCTTCGACATCGTAAAGCCAAAAAATTCTTGAAAGTCGTCGAATCTGCTTTGGCTCAGCGACTCAAAAATTCGTACAATTCTATCATCCATATCCACGTGAATTCCGCCAAGTATCACGGTACCAAACTTTCGTGCTAAATTGAATTTTGCCATTGAGGTGTAGAATTCAGCTTTTATAATATCCGTAATAAATTGAATATCAAAACACGAATCATACATGTACATGGCAACGTAGTATTTACATGTACCCATGTGAAGGACGGGTAACGCCCCCTGGAATCCCTTTCTCACATCCTGTCTATATTTATACTACAAATTAAGTACAAATTATATTTATATATAAAATATTTTTCCAACTTAATTATTTGATTTTGTCAAATTGTCTTATAAATTATTCATAGCCTTTATTTATGGAAATTGTTTTAAACTTTTTAAATGATTAAATACATCAGGCAACGAGCCGTGTGCATTTCAATTCCAGCCACCACTATATTTACTGTGTCGTTACGGTAGAATTATTTCAGATGACTTGGGGGTGCGTTTTAATTTATTTAGATATAATACTTTATAATGCTATAAGCTGGTGTCAAGCAGATGAAACCAAGTGTAGATGGTGTGAAATTCATTGTTATAAAACTAGCTATCGGTACTTGAACTTCTAAACTGTGTGAGTAACTGTAGCCTACGCCAGAGCGAAATGTAAACAGTGCAAATGGTGGCTGTTCACAGTATTTCTGTGCTTAATTCTTGCATTTTGAAACAAATAATTAAATGTACGTGACGTGGACGCGAGTATTGTGGTCTTAAGTCAATTTACTGAACATCAAATAAAATTTAGTCCACCTGTTGCATGCGACAGGTAGTTTTACTTGCTACCTGTCAGATTAAAAAATCGCAATTCGGCTACAAGTAGACAAGCGAACATTTCGAGCCATGTTGATTAGATTATGAGTCCTTGCATCAATCTTGACTTTTTGCATTGCCTTTTCGACTTCGTGCCGTGCAATACTGCGTCACTTGTCTTGACATGATATACCAAAGATAGGTTTCCAGGCAACGAACCATACGCCCACAGCAGCTAAATTGTCCGGGCATCGACAAGGGTTGTCGCATATTTATTCTTTTGTAGGTAATTGGGGGCATTTACAAGACAATTTCATACAGCCCAGATTATAATTTTCGTTGTTTGGAGGCAGACCACCATTAAATTTCACCATCTCTGGACCCCACAAATTGTAGTTCGTCTATTTATAGCAATTCTCTCTCTGTCTCTTTTTCCCCCTTTTGCATGCCCATTTTTGTTGATTCTTTGGTCTAGAATGGACGAAGAGGGTTTGAATTTACATTTTCTGCCAGGTTTTGGTAAATATTCATGATTTTGAGGCGGAAGGATAACGGGGTTTTCAGGTTGCCTACAGTGATATGTACGGCAACTAGTTACATTTTCTTAGAATGCTTCTTCAAGTTTGTGTATCTGAGAATTTTGGTGGTCAACCTCATACAAATTTTAGTGCAAAGACATGACCATTTGTTCCTCTGTCTGTAGTGAAAAGCATTCAGTCCAACGAAAATTTGGGGAAAAGTTGGAGGTGGGCAAACTCAAACAAGTGCCTTACCTCAGGAGGTAATTTACAGAAATTGTTGAAATTTGACAGGCTTTTTCATTTTAATAATATGTAGATCTACATAATGCATATAAAGTTAATACAGATCAGATGATAACTTTTGTCATTTCAACGTTCACAAGGATCACATAGTAAAACAAGAGCCATCACTCTAGAAGTAATTGAAGGAAATTGCTGAAATTAAATAAACTTCTTTGTTTCGCTAATCTAAATGATGCATATAAATTTCATACAGATAGAAAGATAACATTTGTCGGTCTAACATTGACAAGGTGCAACAAAGTGAAACAAGGGACATAACTCCAGAAGAAATTATTAGAAATTATTCAAATTAAATAAGCTTCTTCATCTCACTAATGTAAACAACATATATCAATTTTAAAACAATCGGATGATAGCTTTTGGCGTCACAGCATTCCCAAGAGATTGTGGACGACGGACGGATGGACGGTAGACTGACATATGGACGGACAAGGCTGACGGCAATATACATCCACATTTCCATATGGGCGTATAAAAAGCTAAATATTACTGTTAATCAGAATGTAAACAAAAAAAATTGTTACGGCTTAAATAGTTGATAGATGTTTATAGTCTAATAGAACATAATCCATATTATTCTTGTGCTGCGTGTCTACCCTATCATGTTTACTTACAATTTATTATCTTTAAATGACTTCACCAGAATGTGTTCTTTTGTACGTAAATCAAGATCATGAGCATCTGGTAGAACAACAAGTACAGGCACAGCAAGCAAACCACCCTTTTTTCTCTCTAGGTTTTCTATTAACATGACCTTTCCAACTAAATCCTGTCGTCGTCCTCTGTAATTCTGACGTCGAGGAATGCTGTCATCTGTATCACTATCCAAATCAGATTCGGTTTCATTGCTAAAAGTAAAAATTGTATATTTATATATTACATTGGGTAACATCATATGTCCACAAGCATGCGTTCATCAGCGTTCTTAATCTATTTTGAAACCAACTGGCCAGAACTCTCTGTCAAATGAGGTCTCAGTAGGGAATGGTGTAATTATCTGCATAAGCTCCTGTTTCCTTTTATATAACCAAAAATAACAAAAATAATTCTTGGTAATTTATTATGGAGAATGCTGTATTCTGAAAAGACTAATATATGCGATTACCACAAAAAATAATGACAAAATGAATAGGTACATCTTTCTGAAAAATTTTCATATTTAATTCACATACTGAATGAATTACTGTCTTCGTTTATTCAATGGATAAAGCGAAACGTTTGTAATAAGATATAGATATAGTTCAGCAGTCAACTACAGCCAGTATCAGAAAATGTAGTAGCCAAAATAAAATTGTTGTTTTTGTCTATCACATTACTTGCAAAGTTGTTATTCATTCGAAGATGATAGACAAACGACACAATGATCACGTGACAACCATAATTGAAATTGCTTTATAAAATAAAATTCGGTTGACTGTGCCATAGCCTTCAATAATAATAATATTTTAAAAATTAAGCCACTATCAGCATGTGTATAAAATAAATAAGCATAACGGTAAACACTATTTAAAACCTAATCTAGCATCACTGGTTTGATGACCTAATTCCAACCGATGCATGTCACTTGTCATCAGGATTCAGCATTGGAGATTCTGTCGGAAAAATATATCATTAATGACCGTTTCTCTGGATATTCGGTGTTCTATCAGGGGATTATTCCATGAATATTTAAATTTAACTCACAACTATTCAGTGAAATCATCAAATGTATGATCCAATTCATACCGATTATCAAAATTACCAAAATAATTGCTAATTATGAACCACATGGGCAATTCTCACTAAGGTATGACTATTATTGTAGCCAACAAGCAAGTTGATTGACTTAATTGTTTTATGAAGCAGCTTTTTCAAACATCAAGCTGCTGATGCCGACAATAATGATCTGATTAAGATCCCTGGTGTGCATATATGGATATAGCTCAACTGCTGTAGGCTATGTGGTTCAATGTACTAAGTAAGGGGTTCTAAGCCCAGAGAGGATCATTACTTTTTACTGTACATGTTTTTATAGATAAAAGCTTGCACTACAGTTAATTTGCAGTCATGGGAACCCTGCTAAAGAGACAGACTGGTCTGACTTGCAGCGGCCGATCAGTAATACTAACCGTTTTCAAATAAGCTTGATTCCAAATAGCCTTGATAAATCATATAAATAATGGAAATAAATAGATATACATGGTATGAAAAATACCAAAATTTACAAAATCTGATTCTCCATATTATTATGTATGGTTAATAAAACAAAATGAATATTATATAACTTGATAATTATTATGAATGATTATATATGTATACCATTACTTAACGTCACTATGAATTAATTAAAAAAAAAAAATAGTCTAAATTTATCAGGTTCATCACAAAGTGAGACCATTAATGAATACCATAATTATTCGATGGATTAGGCACAATTCTTTTTGTAAACATTTTAATTTCTATAAGGGGTGCGTCACAAGTCTATAATTTAATATTGAAGAAATCTAATCTCTAGGGTTTATCCTCTTAAGTATGGTTGTCCACAGCCTCAAATAAGTGTGCTAATAAAATTAACCTACGTACATATTGCTTCTGAAATGACAAATTCTCAATTATCACAATTCAGTTACAGGGTTGTGCATTCGCTGCAAGCGGCAATCATTCGCCAAAAATAGGCATTAACGTGATAATATTAATTCATTTTTTTTTTTATCTATGGAGCCCATAAAAAATCTCTTCTTTAAATAGACCTGTAGTCTTTATTTTCCAGACATGTATTCTGTTTGTATTTGTGTAAATTATTTTCACTGTATTTTAAAAAAGGTTGGGTTTTTTTCAACCTTGACAGACGGACTTAGTTTTTTTCTTCTTGTTTGTAGATCTGAGACTGAGCCAGCAAGATGACATCCTCCGAACTAAGGACTAAAAATAGGGACCACTTTAGTAACCAATTGTTACCTTGTGAAACGATATGACTTATCTATGATGAGTACAAAAAAATAGGTGGGCATTCGCTAATTTTCATACTTAATTCCTGTATCAGCTTCATTGTCAGTAATAATAACTAATATTCTTCAATAATTACCTGCCTTCGTTTGTGCAATAGAAAACATATTGTGTCTGTTATTAGCTTAAATGACATTTTACATGTATTTCATGCCAAAATCAACGATTTTACTAGTTTCGTAGTAAGCAGTGTCTAATATGGTAAGCGATGATAATAAGTCTGGAAAGAAATGTGGAAAACTGATATCGCAAGAAATCAGGGATATAAACTTCAGCTAACATCATGTAAGAAGATATGCTGGAATATAAAATTATTCACACCACCAGGGACAACTCCAAGTTTACCTACCATGAAGCTTTTAGGTCTGTAGTGTTATTTGTACAGTAGAATCTGTATTAAGCAGCCACTCAAGGGAATTTTCATGACTGGCTGCTTAACGGGAGTGACCTCTCAATAAAATCTGAGTGTTTGTTGGTGCTGACATCAAGTAAATTTTATGCTTAGATGCATTAGGAGCAAACAATTTATCGTGACCGCTTACAAGGAGATGTTGCTGAATGGAGTGGCTGCTCCTACAGATTCTACTGTACGTCTATCGAAAGAAAATTAATTTCCCAATTATTACCGTATTTTTCGGTGTATTAGGCGCATGCGTAGATAAGGCGCAGGGCGAGTTTGGCAGAGGTGTTTCAGGAAAAAATAAAAATGCATGGTTTAGGCACACCCTTCTCCAGCGCCTTGTGAAATAGGTGCCATACCATAGTTACCATACGTGATTCAAATACACCTGCGATCTCCAGTAACTGGGCCAAACTTTACTGTTTACAGTTATAATAATTACCGATATTTAGCTGTATCAAGCTTTATATATATTTCTTTATGAAATTAAACTCTATATACATTTTTTGAATTGCATAAGACTTTATATTAATTACAACTTTCAATTGAATTGTTTCATAACTTAAGTGGTAATTCTGGCGCTTGTACGGAAGTCAAATTGTCGTTAGAGTCCCGCCCACAACACAAATGGCTGTCTATTACATCCTGTTAAATTCACGAGCAATTGGCTGTGATAAATGAATAGGTATTGATGATAAACAAATGAAATAAAAACTGTAGAAATAATTTATCATGATCAGTTACTCACGGCTTAAATCCTGACTACCGGTAAAAAGAGAAACAATAATTCTAGTTTATTTTATACTATCCAAACAACTGACAATCAAACGATTGTGTCAATTGTCTCGCCCACTACACGCAGCATGACAATACCTAGATTGAGGCCATTTATATCTATCAGTATCATAAGACAATAGCATTTTTAATACCAATCAAAGAAACAATGATTTTGTGAACAACAAACAACTTCATAAAGCATACGATGACAACTCACCGGTAGATAATTAACGATACCGGTAAATTATAACAATAGGTTAATCAGTGAATCTTCGTTGCATGAAAACTATCGGTAACTTGAAACGGCTAAATATATAAGTTACAGCAATGTATAGTAAATAAATTTATTCAGAATGACTACGAGACGAACCGCTAAAGAGTGCGGTAATAGATAAAGCAAATAGATAGAGCGCCGCATGTTATCCACACATTGAGAAAGAATGGGTTAACTGTCAATCATAGACGCCGTGAAGATTTGCCGTTTCGAGAACAGGTTAGACAGAACAACTTCGTTGTCGTCGTTTCTGGAGTTTGCCGCCCACTTCCACCAGGGGTGATATCGTAGACAAGAGAACAACTTCAATATATGTCAGTTTAACTCTAATCCCACCCTTACTTATATTGAGCCAATGAAAATGCTTGTATGAATGCATATCCCGCCCTATTCGTCAACTTGACTGACAGCACCACTGACCTTGAACGGGGACGTGAGAGGACTGCCGATAATGGCCAAGAGTATACGGAATAGCAGAAATATACGATGTAGCATTAGCAAGAAATATTAACGATACGTATGCTATTTTTTAAAACATCGTTAACGTTGAACGGCTATCAGCCGATGGTGTTTGCATTGCCAGTTATGACAAACACTATACTGTACACGGGATAGCCTAAAATGTTGACATCTTTTTTAATTTTTATGCACGAAATAACAGAAATACGGGCGATAATTATTGACGAATTTTAAACTATCTAAAATATTACTGACAAATATAAATGGACACGAAAGGAAACAGTATTGTGTTTAATTTGTGTGGTAATTTATCATAAACTTTTGAGGTAGCGTCACCCGGTCGACATGTGTTGATTATAGGGCAGTTATTTGTTGAACTCCCGACTTTGGTGTCTACACGGGAAAAGCCTGGATTCGCTTAACGTTATGTATTAGGCGCACCCCTTCTAGAAAATAAAATATTTGGTTAAAAAAGTGCGCCTAATACACCGAAAAATACGGTATTCAGCATTACCGCGTTAAAATTGTAAATAAGGTGCGTTAATTAACAAGGGTAAGAAACTGTCTGAGAGGTGAGTTAATTAACGCTAGGGGAGAACCAGCGGCTGCCAGGCAGGATACGCCCATATTTTGCAAGTGATGGATAGAGAACAAGCTAAAAACAATCGTGATTTTTTGTACAATTGGGGGCAATAATCCAGAAAGTTATGGCCTGAAATGTGCAAATATCAAAAGGGACAGAGATCTTTGGGATATAAAGATATGTTTTAAGTACAAAGAGCGGCCATTTTGTTGGGCAGTTTCATTTAGATTTCCCCGAAATATGAATTCAACCTTCATTATGGTGCAATTGTGTTGTATTTAAACAGTTTTTAAAATCGGAAATTTTTTTTGACCTCTAGAGAATCCGTAAGCTAAAAAAGCGATTTTTCAAACAATCAGGGGCCATAATC